AGAGATGACCTCAAATGACTACAATATCGGGGAACAAAAAAAAAAGAAGAAGAAAGATACAAAAGAGTAAGGGAAAGACAGAGGGGTGGGCCTGAGGATGTTTGAAGAGACAAGCTCAAAGGAGAAGGAATTATGGAGGTCAGACAAAGTGGAAGATGAGAGGAACAAGACTATAATGTTCACTTTTTCTTGTAAGTCACGTGTGTGGGAGAAAATACTGCCAATGAATAAAGAGACAGCTGATACTGTACACCCTCAATGAATGCTTCCAGAAGCTTGCATGATATGTTACATTTTGGGTTTTAATTCATAAAAAAAGAAAAAGGAACAGCCAGGACAAAAAAATCTGGAAACAAAGGGTTTTGCTATCATGTATATGACAATATGAACCAAAAAAATGTCTTTGACAAGCATACAAGAGTTGTGTGAATGCACACAGTCAAACTAACCTACGAGACCTGCTAAACAGAGCCATAAGAACCCAGTTAGTAATAATAATATCATTGTCTAGAGAGCCTAGGTGAATGTTCTTTTCCATTTGTTACTGAAGAACATTTGTATACTATGAAGGGGAGGTAGTATTAGAAAAATTATCTGAAAGAAAATACACAGAGTAGGCAAGTACATTGGGCTGATTACTGAAAAAATGAAACTATTTCAAGGGCGGGAACAATTTTTAATTGCATGTAACTATGGCTTATATTTGACACAAAGGATTCAATATGTAAAAAAGAGAGCACGTAACGTAATATCACATTCCAAATGTTCTCACCACAGACGTGAAATACAACTTTCACAAGCAAACAAAACACGTAATAGAATACAATAAGCAATAATATTCATCACAAGCCGTCCTTACAATTTTGACTAGACTGTTTTTTTGTTTATGATGATGGTTGCCACCAGTACTATTAATGACTGACTGTATTTTCAAAAAGTCTAAAATGACATTGATCACTGACCATTTATATTGCAACTAAATATTTCACATATAAATATAAATATCTACACACAAAAAACAACCAAAAACTGACAAATTTGGCAGGATCACAACTGAAGCAAACACAACATGAAAAGAAGATTTCAGGACTCACTACTGGCAAAAAAATCCAAAGATGAACAAACATACTGCTTTTGTAACAACATCATGAACATAGCTCGCTACAAGGCTATTGTAAGAAAAAGCACTGTTTACACTAAAACTATTGTAGTTGACTGTTGTTAAACTGTCCAGTCCTAACTAAGCCAGGGAATAATCACTGACATCCACTGCTTCATCAGAGGCTCCTATTGGATGACATACTTACAACCAAGGCAACCTTCACAGAAGACAATGTATGCCAGTCTTGGTCAAATCTTAAATGTTGAGGGGAAAAAAAACTGGCATGGTACAGGAATTTTGGTCACGGAGGTTGAACGAAGAACAAAGTAAGACATAGAACATGACTTCCATCAATGCTAGGCTCCAAATAAACATGTTCAATGAACAGGTCAAGTATTGACAATTTGCCAGAATGGCTGAAAAAAAGGAGCTGTCTTTTACAGTAACCAATGATCAAAAGGCACAAGTGTACAAGGTTGGGACATTTTTTGCAAAATGGAAAACTGTACATAAAAAGAAAACGTTCACTCCACCAACATCCCCGACAACCCACACATTCTTCCACAAGACAACTTGCACTCCACCAACATCCCCCACAACCCACACATTCTTCCACAAGACAACTTGCACTCCACCAACATCCCCGACAACCCACACATTCTTCAACAAGAAAAGTTACAACAATCAACATTTCTTTCATTAAAAAAACCCACAGCCAAGCTCCTTCCTTCCTCCAACAAATTCTGTGAATCTCCAGGGCATGACATTGTTACCCTCAACAAAAATCTAAATATGAACACAAAACTTTCAGATGTGAAGTAAACAAACATGACAAAAAGCAGTCATGGTGACTTAAGGCAAGCGTACTGCAAAAAGCTGAGCTCAAAAATGACACCTGAAACAGTCAGTAGGTTGCAATTTTTTTTTGCAATGCTGTTATGCGAGAGTGCTATTACAGAATATAGATGAACAGTGAACGTTTGCATAGGAGATTATGACTGATGACTGCAGTAGTTACGAACATCACACTCAGCGAACAGGTCAACTGTACATTACTTAGTCTTCTTATCATTATTGGTCATTACATTGAACTCACTACTTTCGTCATATTTAGGTCATAGAAGAGAATTCATGATATATGAAAAGTGCACAGACAACACAAAGATATACCAGTCAGAACCCCACTAAACGCAGCGTAGGGAGCAAAGATCACAATTTTAAGACGACAATGTTGACAAGGGCAAAACACATGTCGCATATTTACACAACGCACCTAGTAACATGTTACTTCTCAATATGACACCATTATTAGGCTTAGAAAAAACAACCGGACACTGTCTTTCTCAATTATTTTACATTTTGAGCATGGTAAGTTACAGCATCCATGCAAGGAATTGACATACTTAGGCTTTACATCTAGGCTTTGACATAAAATAATGAACTACAGGGGAGTTCTATTTCAAACCGAAATCTGCAGGACCGCTCGATTTTCTTCTGGTCTTCAGTTTAGAGACATTGTTTGAATAAGAGAAAGAAAAATCAGAATGTAATGTTACTTTCACTTTCAGTGTACCCATGTTTTTGGATGAATCATGTTCAGTTCAAGCAGACTACTGTATGTTCAACTACGAAAAAGGCCAGCATAAGACCTATGAGCGGCTTGAAAAACAGTTCTTGCTATCAGTTTAGTTTCAGTAAGAGTTTTACAGCAATTGCAACACAATTATGTCATATAAGTGCCAAAGATTACAGATGTTCCAAAAGAGTAACATACAAAGAAAGGAGAGATAAGGATGACAGATGTTTCTGTGTCAATCTGCCCTTTTAGGAACAATGTTGGCATCGACAAAGACCAATGAGTAATGCTGACGTCGCCCCTTATTCTGACAGACAAGCTCGATGAGTACCAGGGAAACTATTGCACCGTGCCGATAGGACGCCTGCACCACTTGGGCCAGTCTGAACACACACAGTTTGCCGACTTCTTTTTCTGTTTGTTACTCTTTGTCAACATTCTGGCTAAAAAATGATAGATGGGTCACAAAAGGTACAGATTCAAACACTTTGTTAAATATATTTCAGTTAATACAATGATTGTCATCTTAAAAACAGAGCAAAAGGCCTCAAGAAATTTGGCAAAATAATCTTGTAACTGGTATAGACAAACGACTTTTTCACTCTCATTAACAATAAAAGTAATTGCATAAGAACTTGATACCAGCAAAAGCCTTGATGAGGGAAATCGACAGAGATAACATGGTCTAATCATCCTGCACAGGTGTATGAATAAGTTACCTGCATAAAAGCAGCAAATTCAGCAAAAGAAAGAACTTATCCTTTACAAGCATTAAGTCTAAATATATACCATCTATAAACTGCTCAAGTTCTATTCTCCATTGCCATCACTGCGATTGGTCCGCCCAGATCTGAGCTCAGCATGTCATGTGTTCAATACAATTCTAAATATATATACAGCACTCTGTGAGCTTATAGAGAAACCACAAAAGCCCACCTTCACAAACACCAACGCTCCAACACAACAATAAAAAAGGACCCTTTGGATTTCTTCACAAAGAAATTTCCCCAAACTCGAACTGCGGGTATGGATTGCAACACAACACGGAAGCCCATTGCACCAATTTACGACAAACAACAGCAAAGAGCAGAATGTCTCCTGGACCAAACCCTGTCAATAAGTAAGGAAGTAAAGATTTCACCAGATGAACTAATTATACAGGTAAAGAAATCACAGAGCACAAAAGTTTTCAATCACAAGCCGGTAAACAATTGCATTGCAGCTACATGTGTACATGGAGAATAAATATTGTTTGGGAAAATACTGCACCTATATCAGACAGCTACACAAGGAGCAAAAGTACACTTGTGGGGCAGAAACAACCCATAAAAAAGAAATTGAGAGATTTTTTAAAAACACCAAAAAAAACACCAAAACTAACCTTACAAAAAACGATGGAAATTATCTCAACATAAAACACTTCTAGCTTGACTTGCTTGAAAGATAAAATCTATACAAACGTAAATGATACGTAGCAGAGACACGGTGCCTGTATGTAATAGCCTCAAAAGCCTCCTGTGCTGAGATAAATTATGAAATCTTATATCTATAGTGTTACTCTAACTGAGAAAAAAAAAAAAACATCAACATACATACATATATAAATATATATATATATATATATATATATATATATATATATATATATATATATATATATATATAAATATATATATATAAATATATATATATAAAAAAAAAAAAAAAAAAAAAAAATATATATATATATTTAAAAAAAATAAATAAATAAAAAAAAAAAATATATATATATATAAGAAATGGCAAACAACCAGCTACTGAGACATACCAACACCTAAACAATAACAAGGAAAAGGCAGAATGAATCAAAATTGGTGCTCAGAACGTTTGCAGGGGAGCATAAATAATGCTTGATCAGTCACATCGATGCTCATTGCAAATGAAGAAACCCTCAGGGTTAAAAGACTACTGGCACAGTATGGCTGGCCCCTTACATTACAAAAGAAAAGCAAGAAATAGTAAAAGAGACAGGTACAAATTCTGAATCAAAATATTTGCAGTTTGGATCACAATTGTTTAGACTAGGACATAAGACACTTCGCCAATATCGAGAAGCAGTATATCACTATAAAAAAGCAATTTGTAAATCCCAAGAGCTTTCCAATTGTCTCAAACTTCCATCACAATTTGGACTAATTTCTTCAAAGTTGAAAACAATTGACACGTTTGCTTTTGAAAAAAATGTCAGAAACTCACTATTATTATAAAAGATTCATTCAAATACAATGTTGACAGCTACAACAGTAGCAAAATTATTTAATAACCAGGTACTCTAAGTGCATATTTTTTTGCATGACTAAGTATTTTTCAACTTCCTTAAAACTTCTTTAAAAAACAGCTGTTTTTACGATGTGAAACTCTTCCCCGGGATTCCATCTCCTCCTATCAATGCACACCCTTAGAAGAATGCAGAAATTAATTGCTTAAGTAGTGGATTTCAATATGAACAAATAAATACATACTCAGGGTGGATGTTGACTAGAAGAAAAAGAAAGTAATGAGGTAATACCTCTGTAAACAAAATGTTTCAGAGTATAATAGGCTCACATCTACAACAAACGCAATGCTCCTATAACAAAAGTAAGAAGACTACAAATGATCACAGAACAGAGTGCCAAGTGAAAAAAAAAAAAAAAAGACTTTCCTTTTCAGTCGGTGGCTGGCCTTCTTTAGTATAAAATCTAAAACATGGAACTACAATATAGCAAATACAAAAAAAAGAAGACTAATTTCAGGACTTAGTCCTGGGCCGAATCAACCATACTGATTGTGACAACCGAGTGCACACATAAGAAAGAACTGTTTGGACATATAATACGACATGCTACTCAGGGTATGCAGCTACAAAAGTACGCTTTTCATCCCGTGTCTTTCAAGCATCACTCACCAGCAGATAAAGGAACATGATCAAAATTACAGAATAAGATATAAGAGAGAATACATTGATCCCAGCCAGACAAGGCCGTAGAGCAGCTCGCTGCTTTAACATGAGTGTTTTCACCTTGACAATGATACACAAAGACTAAACCATACTGTATTGAAAATATCGAAAAAGTCCCAGTCACATGACAAGTCAGAGAATTTCCATGGCATCTGTTTCATGATTAAACCTCAACCCCCTCCCCCACCTTCACCCCATAAATTTACACAAATCTAGGGGTTCTGTCTTGAGAAAGCTTCCCCGTTGTTGATGTTGGTGTTGTCACAGGCGAGGATGAGGATGTCGCTGTTGTGGCTGTCGTGGTACTAGATGACAGCTGTGCTGGCCGGGAGGAGCTGGTCTTTCCAGCACTTGAGGCACTAGACTTGCCTGTGGTCTGGCTTGGTGATGGTTTTTCCTGCTGACATCTCTCATGAATCCTCCGTGGACTGCCCGAGGACCCCACAGCGCCCCCACTACTGCCACTAGACGTTTTCCTCAGTACTGGCTTTGTCGGCGTCCGACTTGAAGACGCACTTACTCCCTCACCCGAAGGTTTTCGTTGCCGAGATGACAAAGAAGAAGATGAGGACTGAGACGTTGAAGAGGAAGAAAATCTCTCTACTCGAGCAGCCACATCTCCTTTCGGTGGTGATCCAGTCTTTGGCCCGCTGCCAGAGCTCTTCAGGGTGGATCTTGTAGAAAAAGCAGCAGGGGAGTCGGTGCTCCTACCAGACAACTTCTTAGCCAAGGGGGAACCAGACTTTGGGGTGGCAGACGGGCTAGATCCTTCACCCGACTGTTTGGCTGAACTCGACGTCGATGCTCGAGTGGAGGAGGGAGAAGAGTTTTGGTCGGCAGCAGTTCTCTTCGTCAGGGAACAAGCAGCTGGAGATGATAGCGGTCTGGTGGAAGACGGGGTGGAGCCACTACCAACCTTTGGTGAACCTTTCCCCGGGGAAGAGGCTGGACTCGACTTCTTTGTGAACACAGTGGATGGCATAGCCAGCGCTCTGCCCCGCCCAACTCCTGGTCTGACTCCTCCCTCGGAGATGGTGGAAGTTTTTTGCCGAGGGCTACTTTGACCGTCGCTCTTTGAGGTATCAGACTTGGACCTGGCCCCAGTTTTACTCTGCCCTACAGAAGTATGACTGCTTGCTGACGAGCGGCTGGACACAGGAGAACCTGAAGCCTTTGTGGTGGATTTTTTCACTTCAGGTGAAAACATTCCTTGTTGTGCAGCACAACTCTCTTTAGGCGTCTCCAACTTTTCTTCACACTCCATTTTCATCTCAACTTCCTGTGGTGATTCTGTCTTCGGCTTGACTTCCTCTGCTGATTGTGGTGTCGGCTTAGGTTCCTGGGGCACCATGTGACTTGAAGCAGACAAGGCACAACCACCGCTTAATGCATCGTCAAACAGCCCGGACTTTCTTTTCACCTTCGGGGAAGAGCTTGTACTTGCCCGCGGGCTTACAGCACCAGTGACCAATACTTGATCAGATTCAGACTTCTTGTCATCCTCGGGCCCCGTTATCTTCGCGTCCGACTTGATGGCCATAACTAGCTTTCTCTGTTCTAGCTTGAACTGGTCAGCTCGTTTGTCTCCCTTATCACCACGCTTTGCGCCCATGCCATGGCGCGGGATGGTAGGACTAGTGGGTATACGGCTGGGCATCTCTCTACGCTTTATGGTGGGACTCGCGGGTAAAGTGACAGCGGGAACTGGCCCTTCCTCCGCTCCGCCTGTCTCAGAGCCATCAGACGTTGGGCTCATTGGCTTGCTCACCGTTGGGATCGGCATTTCCTCCAGGACAGATTTCCGCGAGGAGAAACCTCTGTTATCTACCATAGGTTGTCTCAGGACGGCCGAGGGTTTGCCTGTAGCTGCGGCATTTGGCGCAGCTGATGATGATGACGACGATGATGATGGTGGTGGTGGTGGTGGTGGTGCTTCCGGCACATTCTGCACAGGTTGGTCAGTTGTTGAGACAGGAACAGGCTCTTGTTCTGCTGTGACTGCTGTTGTTGTTTCTGTATGCGAAGGACTGCTGCTATCTACCACTGCATCTGCAGGTACAACATTCATCTTGGGCATGCATGGGAGGCTGTGTGTGACAGGGAGACCACCACTAGAGACCAGGTTTATCTTGGGGTAAAAGTTGTCGCCTGTCTCCTCCACACTGGGAGCTTTGGTCAGGTATTTAATGTTCTCCAGCTGGTGAGAGTGGGCTTTCTTCCTGGCCAGCTCCTCCAGCTTCTGTTTTTCCCCTGCCGAGCATTCAGTGTTTCCTTCCTCTCCAGACGGTTTCGTCTCCACTGACAACTTGGCAACCTCTTCCGTCATCGGAACAGGGGACTTTGACATTCCTCTGGTCTCCAAATCCTGGCTACTGAACGATCCAGTGGAAGCGGAGGTGGTGAGGGAGTGGTAGCCTAATGTGGAGGAGAGCTGGGAGGAGGTAAAGCTGCTGGAAGACCTCAGCAGGGAGGCCGCCATACCAGAGGCAGCGGAGGAGAGGGCAGAGGCCATGTCCGTGCCCGAACTGTCGGAGGCGCCGGGGACAGAGGCGGAGGAGGTCATCATCTGGCTGGGGTAAGTGCGGTGCGAGACCAGGGGGGAGGAGGCTGACTTGGTCACGGTGGGCTTCTTTAGGTAGGGCTCTGACTGCGGTGTCGATGAGCTCTCTTCAGTCGCAGGCTGCGCCGTGGAGGTGCCACTGGTTCCTGGCACTGGGGACAGATAGGGTAAAGCAGACATAGAGTCAAAGAAATCACTACTTGGGACTTGAAGTCTCGTTTGCAATCTGTTCAGTTGGTATTCCTTGACTGATCAAAAAAACACTGGATACCATAACAAAAAAATCTTTTTAGCCATGTATAACATTCCTAGTTATTACAAATCACATTTTGTCCAACAACTTAAATCTATGCTCAGTATCTTCCTCTCACATAGCCATACAAATACCTTTAAAGGTTTCACATTGAAAGTGAATCAGATACAAGCCAAATAAAACTTTTGTTTCTGATATTCAGTCATTATTTAGTCATCTATTCTTTAATCTGTGCTACCACCAAAAGTTGGATACACTTTTCCAGTATCAGGACCAATGTTCAATGTCTTTTGAACCAATCAATGCTGTTATGAAATTTCTAAAATATCCTTTTGGCTTTTGTATGACAATTCTTTTGCACACAGCTGATGAAAGCTTTATCATGGTGCATTCAATAATGACTCTCTCTAAAAGCTTCAACCACCAAGCACTACAAGTTTGAGCCTAAGAGCCCAACTAAGGACATGACACTAATATTATCTCAATCGAGAAAACACTTCACAAAATAATGATTAATCATTACAACTAATAAAGCATATTAAAATACTCAATTAACAACACATCAATTTTCTAGTAATGCTCTCCACATGGGAGTCTTTCAAAATCAGTGTCTGGATAAGATTAAAAAACGAAGGATAAAATTGTTCCGAATGAGCCAAAGAGATCCAATACTTGTGGATTGTGTTCACTCAAACACTAATCAACTTGCTTTACATGTTTCCTTTTCTGACACTCCTGTCAAAGAAATAAAATCATTCATTTACTTTATTGAACTGATCATATGCGGCCTCAGCATCATAAATAGTTTGAAATACAGTCTGAAAGGTTCAGGTTCAGTTGGCCAGGTCTATCTCTCATATCTCAAAAGTAGTAAGATGTACTCTAAATTAGCGCATAATCGCTTTCAAATTCAAAATTGTTCCTCACGAAATGAGAGACTCACAAAATGGAAAAACTCAATGGTATTTTTAAAAAATAGCTTCATTATCTTCGACTCATCTCTCAAATAACTGCAAACTGACAACCAACCACAGCTCAAGCGCTATATACATGCATGTACACCTCCACTCCCACAGTAGACAGAACCCATTGCCATCAGGTTATAGAGAGTGCTGTACACTCAGATGTACACATAGATGGATAGATGTATTGCACAGATGCTCTATATTCACAGAATGTCAGAGCTAAGGAATCCCAACAACCAGGAGACAAGAGTTTGGGACAGTCGCTTCTAGCTGAAAAAGGAAGGCTTTTACAAATCTAACACAAGAATGGCATGACAAACATAACAGTTTCAATTACTTTGGTCAATTCTAAAGAATGGATCAGAAGAAAACCACACAGAGTACCCTTCTCTGGGAGAGCTTTTACTGTGCTCCTTGATATAATAGGAAAACACATTTCTTTTAAAAAACACACTAGGAAGGGCATGAAATGACTCAATCAGCATGCAAGCCTGCTGTAAGGAGAGGGGGAGGTTGTAATCTATAACTTGTACATGAGTCATGCTGTAACTCAACACATGTTAATAAAGTCACAAGTTCTAGAGTCAGTTCCAAGTTTGTTGCATGAGCAAAGATTTGGGAGGGCATTACTCAAATACATGAGATCCAAAAGCTTCCACTGCACAGCGGGCATGTTAAACTGCACAGCGGGCATGTTAAACTGCACAGCGGGCATGTTAAACTGCACAGCGGGCATGTTAAACTGCACAGCGGGCATGTTAAACTGCACAGCGGGCATGTTAAACTGCACAGCGGGCATGTTAAACTGCACAGCGGGCATGTTAAACTGCACAGAGGGCATGTTAAACTGCACAGCGGGCATGTTAAACAAGGTGTTTGACTTCATTGCAAAGTCCCTTTGATGACAGATTGAAGACAGTCAGGGAAACTACAGGACTTACAAGTGAGAGAAAAATAATGCCAAATGACTCTGTCAAACCACAGCTCATGCAAACAAAAAAGGGATATTAAAACACCAATTTCACTCAAACTTTTCTCAGCATCTTTGTAGCAAATATTTAGTCCTGTCAGTTTCCTACCAATAATTCTAAAAAGAGAAAAAACAACATCTATGCAGGAGCAAAACCCAAAATACCATATCACAGCTAGGCAGAGACAGACAAAGGGGAGGTGGTAAATAAAGGGGAATGACAGAAGTAGAGAGGAAGAGCAGAGGTAGAAAAACACACAGGCAACAGAAAGAAAGTGACAGACAAAAAGACAGTGTAAATGGGAAGTATCTGCCACCTGGTGAACACTGTATTTAGTCAAGTATCTGCCACTTGGTGAACACTGTATTAAAGTCAGAGAACAACAAAAGTTGCTTGTTTCAAACCTTGGTTTTTGGCAACTTTTTAAGCTGACCAACAGAATGGCCCGTTTAATACCCACAAAGATTTTCTTTTGCTATTTCACTTTAAACGTTTATTACAAAAAAAGACATGGACTATTTATTTTCTCATCAGATCTTTCTCTTCTTCACAAACAAAGTATTAGTTAATTGGTCATGTGCATCAACAGTATTTTTATAACCTCATTACAACCATTTCAAAATTAAGATATTCAACTGCACAATTCAGAATATCCGAGGCATCATATTTAGAACAATCCCTTTACCAAGCTTTGCTGATAATGAAACACAAGTAAGACTCAGCTCCCTTCTGCCTTCGTTTTGTTATACAAATTTATCTCTTATGAAACAACAGACAGCACACATGAATTGAAAATCTGCCTCTCCATAATCATTTGAACAAACTTCTTTCAAATGTTGATAAGCTGTTGTCTGTGGGTGTGGCTAGACACGCGCCAGTCCCATTTCAAACTTGTCTAGTGTACACACGTATTTTCAATCATACTTTTTCCTAAAACTGCTGTAAAAAAATTGCGCCCATAGAGTGCGCTCCCTCTTTGAGACCAAGCACTTTACTCAACATAATCCAATGAAAACTCAACTAAATGGAAAAAAGAGTACAAGAAGAAAAATTCAACAGCCATCCTTAATTTATTCACCAGAGACGATACATGCTTGAGGAACGAATAAAGTCATACTTCGAAAAGACCCAAGGGCACCACTCACCCTCTAGAAGCTAAAAGTTTCTTTCCCTTCATGCAGCTACACAGCTACACACCACGACTCATTAGACCTACCACAAACTGACAATGTGTTTTTACACAACAGCGTCATAATGACACATATGAGTGCTTTAATGCTGAAAAAAAGACACATCTATTAGTGACACACAAGCAGGTTACACTGATACATCAACACCTCAAATCACAAACAAACAAAACTCACACAAAAACAAAAGAAAAAACTTTGAAAAAACAACCCAAGAATAACTACTGATATAAATGATGAGGAAGAAGAAAGACGGGGAAAAAAAGATAAAAGAAGAATGAATCTACAGGTTGAAGACGCTGGTTCACAGCAAATCACTCCAACTGATAAAACACTCGAGAGGTTATGGTAAAACTCCAAGTACCCAGCTCACTGCAAACTTTTGAACACAGCAGTGAGGTTATTGCAACAGACAGTCTGGTGTGGGAAGATTGCTTTTCAGTAGCAGTGAGGGATCAGTAGTAGATGAAAATGGTTTGTAAAATGTAAGTAGAGGAAAGTGTTATTATTTTTTAAATTGTACAAGGGAACAGCCTAGATGAGGTGGACATGCATTGAGTATGTGGGGGGTGGGTGTAGATCTATAAAATGTTTCGATGTACCTTTTTTCAAGGAAGAAGTTTTTTAAACTTCTGTTAGAGGATTAGAAAGTGACAAAAAAAATTAATATAATAAACAACACAAACTACTTGTTTTTATAAACTTTAAAAAAAAAAGAAAATTATCGTTTCTACATGACCTGACTAAAACGGTAATAATCTTTAACTCATATGAACTATGCCACATAAAACTAAGACATTTTGCTCCTCAAACAAACTGACTCAGGGACAGAAACTTTCTTGAATTCTTAAAAAAGACATAAAAGTCAAAAAGCAATACAAATATTTTTTCATCACTTCTTAAATACATTTATTGAAATTTGAAAAGTATGACTCTTCATTTTTTGGGTGACAAAGCACCAGGGAAAAAAAAAGAAAATCAGTGACATGAACATTTCAGATAAAACAAGGACTGTTGTTTGCTTGAAATTTTCTCCTAGAGACTAAAGTCAAACTTGGCACTTGGAGCTGCACCAGTACCTGAAATGCATCTCGGGCTCAAAGCCACACTCAGCGGCTCTGACTGAGGTTTTGATTGGTCGGGCAGAAGGAGGTCAGCCGGGTCATCGTCCTCGTCCAACCTAGACTCCGCCCATTCTAACTCTAAGCCTGGCAGGGAAAGACTTCACATGAGCTTTGACATGCCTCCTCCATGCACAGAATCAACAAACTTTTACAACAAGCTTTTACAACAAGCTTTTACAACAAACTTTTACAACAAGCTTTTACCTTCCAAAACACGGACATAATAAAGCCTGCGTTTTGCCTTCACAGCACCTAGGCAGTACAAAGTTATTTTCAAACACAGGACTGCAGTCCCTATCGATCCAGGTATCATATTTGTGACAAACATGATATTAACAAAAACGGCGGCCATCATATTATGAGTGCATGCTATGAGGGGTAGCTAAAAAAAAAAACAACTACAAAATAAGATGTGTACGATGCACTCCATGCCCATACAAATTCTTCTTGAAGCTGACCATCTACTCAATATTTAGATTAACTGCGGCTGCTAAAACCCTTAAAACTAATGGTAAAGTAACTAGCCGTAGGACTAAAACAAAAATATTGTTTTATGAAATGTAGCCCCCACAGACAGTTTGTTAAAAATTATTTTATCCTGAGTACACTTAAGTAAACAACATGCACACAATAACAAACTCATACCACACTCGTACAACAGTTATCTAACAAATTACAATTATTAAAAAGACATTTTCACTTTCAAATACAACATCTGTCAATGTGCTTTAGGGTAACATGCAGGGAGAAAATAAGAACCAAAAGGAATTTTTTAAAAGGAACAATAGAAATTCCCTCTACAGTTGGCACTGTAGAGACACAGAAACGAATGAGTCTCAATAGCTGAATGCACACGCAACAGTCCATTCATAATTACCATTGACAGAGAGATTCTGACAGTCCTGCAATTCCTGACTAACAGAGCCAGGGAGGAGATATTCAGAGGCACACGGCTGCAAATGGGTAAGAGTGTGTGAGGCAAATTTACAAACAAAACTTACGAACATTCAACTAGAACAAAAAGGCAAGAGAGTAAGTAAAACCATTGTGGGTAATTGAATATCATTTGGGTGAAACATTAATTTCTTAAAGTGTCATTTGTTTGTGTTTCTGAAGCAACATGACAAAAAGTAATTTTTGTATAAGGGAAAGCAGGAGGGCCATGTTTACAGCAACAAACCATGATAAAAGAGAAACTTGTACAAAATCGAAAAAAAAAAAATGTAGAAACCTTGAACAACTGGTTGATATTTGAAAGGCTATACCAGCAAAACCAATAAGTCTACAGCATAGACACATCTACAGCTCAGATGTCACAGCTTCCTCTGGTAAATGCAAAAAAACAACTAAACTAAAAGAACATAAAACTATTGACAAATCCTGAAAAAATTCGCAAAGGATTATTGGTACAAGGAACAATGGTCATACATGGACAACAGGTAAAAATTACTTTTCAAAAGGCACAACAATGAAGCTAGATGCAAAAAAGGGGGCTGGGATTCAGTGGGGTGGGAATGGAGAACAGGGCTTCGGGGTCCGGGTAGGGGCGGGAACTAAAAAAAAGACAAGAAACTGTGAGTTGTTTTCTGACTGACCTGTGTGGCACTGGAAGCTGCTGAAGGGACCGCTGGTTCACTGACCACCACCGCAGCCTGACTCTCCGCCTGGGAGCTGACATCAGGTGACCTGATTCAAGAGAAAAAGTTGTCAAAACATTCTGTAGCGCTCTTGAAAACTACGCTCTTCTCCATAGAGAAGAACTAATGTTATAAAACAAAGAAAAAAATTCATACAAAGAAGTTTGACAATTACTCATTTATTTTCAAAGTTCTTTGTCTCATACATCTCCTACTCTTTTAAAGAAATTGTAGATTGTTTAATCATCACTGTAAATATACAGAAAGGAATATATTAAATGGATCATCTCAGCAGCTGAATGATGGGTGTTATGCTCATACTGACCTTTCAGTATCATTTTGTTCTAATCTAATCCAAGAGAAATGTGGACACTATTCTGCCCACTCTCAATAAACAACACTTACAACTTCTCTAAACTCATAAAAGCCACTAGAACATTCAAGCCAGAAAGCAACCCAGTGATTGACAGAAATTATTTCTTGCAATCTAGAAATGAAAGTCTTAGATCAACATGTCTTCCCCAAACAGACAATGTAGGCCTATGTATATCTATGTCTCAAGAGAAAGAGAATAAGCAATAAAAAAAAATAAATTTAATACACATTCCCCCCCCCCCCCCCCCCCAAAAAAAAACCTTCAACAAACAAAATGAAAAGGGACTCACTTTTGCTTTTGCTTCTGCATCTGCGCATGGTCTGCTAAATGCTGACCTGAAAAGACAAAAAAAAGAAAGAAAAAAGGCATAACTCATTTGAACAAACTGAAAAAAGCCAACTCTTCACCGCTTCACTGCTGCTCGGCGTGTGGTGTACGGATATAAATCGGGCTGTAGACGTACAGTGTACGCCCGGCAATATCGCTATTTGTTTCGTTTCCTACTCAGCCGGTAATTGCAATTTAGTATCGAGAGTGTGCTCCCCTGAAAGCTCTGTTCTTCCCGAGTTAGAGAAGCTTAAGTTAGCCCTAGTTAAACCATAGTTAGCCTAGTTAAACCAACAATGACCGAAATAGCATGAACTATAGCGTCACTGAACAGTCACTCTCTTCAAAGTTCTTACGTCTCTAGCTCCAAGCTATGACTGATCACTCGCGATGTATGCTCCCAACTTATCAAGCTATAGAAAAAATTTTGATGATGATGATAGCGGTTCATTCATTTCCTTTTAAAATGATATAGATATTGATATGCATTTGATGCAATACCACAGGTAAATAGCACTTTAAATGGATCACTCGTTTGAGTGCTATTCCTGGAAACAAGGTCAGCATAGGGCGGGGAATATAGGTCAGCAGTGAAAGGGTTAAGAGTAATGTCATTAGTTTCAGACTAACCTAAAGTGCTGCAGGATTGTCAAGTCCCACTGCTGTGTAGTCATCTGTACCTGCCAATATCTTGCTGCAGAAAATCAAGCCTCCTGGCTTCAAGCAGCGGAAAATTATGTATATTCCCAAGTAAAAGAACTACTCCAAGATAGAATACTGATGCACAGATACCATAAAAGACAGGAATGTCTAAAAGAATTATGTTTTATAGTTATAAGAATATTACCAATAATGAAAACTTGATACGTATAAAATTCCTGTCCCGTCTACACTATGAAACTTGTATTAAAAAATACGCGAAACAGCTCGTCAGAATTGTCACATCGATATTGCGCCTGATACAAGCAATATGGTATTAATATATCAGGCGAGCGCTTTCATTCAAAAGAGCAAGTATTCTCTTCACTGTATACCATATTCTTGAATTTTTTTAAAAGCACACTTCAATGAATGGGTAAAGAAGCAAAGTTTTGTGCCTCAGGCGGCCCTCACCAGGCATTAAAACACCATCCAGAGCTTGGTTCAGCTGCTCGATGGGCGTCTGGCTTGGGGCCACTTGAAAGTCCTCACTAGGGCCAAAAATAACCTGGGAAAACAAGAATGCCTCATATATCTTTTAAGAAATGTTTAAATGTAGTCGTCTTTACGCCTCCATCAATACAAATTAGATCATTTAGGAGGCAGGCTTTCAAACCCAGGTTGAGAGGTTTACAACATCTTAGCAGAAAAACAGAAACTCTATAAAAATGTTCTCCCTGCTGCTCCACTACAGACAACAGAGATGTATCTTCAGATACGTCATTTCATAAATACATTTGAAAAATAAATAATTAAACAACACTTTCCTATTTATGTACTCATTATCACCTAACGAAAAAAACCAGACTTGTAAGATCAACTGTCGAGCAAAAGATGAAGTCATAACAATGTCATTTCACAAGAAATCAAACCTATAATCAAAGAAAGTTATAAAATTGGAAACAAGAATATATAACATCAAATGGGCAAAGGCATTTTAAAAAAAGGTTATGAATTACAGAATCTGATGACATCATTGTAGAGTCACTTCCACTGTACCCAGTACTATGATTTTTAAGAAGACAAAAAATTTTATTTAATAAATCCTACAATCCTCACAGATCAAGAGAAGGTACGGAATTGTCCTAAGTGCGTTACATCAACCACATCTCTGTAAGCCAAAACTTTGAGTGAGAGAAAAATTGACAAAGAAAACAAACTAAATCAAGTTGTGGTTGAAAGCTTACTAAAAAAAAAAAAAGCCTGACGCTTTCTCATCACCATCAAAGTAAAACGACCAAACTACAGCCAAGTCGGCAAAAAGAAGATTTCTTGAAATCATGTAGTATTACTCTTAAATGTAAATCATTGAACTGGTCGGGGCTGAAATTGTTTTCATTTCAAAACCACTAAAACCAACAGAATGAGTACAAACTGCTTGATAGTCGCATGTCAAAACCAAAACTGATGCAAAACTAGACTAACTTTCTTTTTCTTGTCCTCCAAAAATAAAGCACAGCCGTAATGTATTTACTCACAGCCATCATGTATCTACTCACAGCCATGATGTATCTACTCACAGCCATAATGTATCAACTCACAGCCATAATTTATCTACTCACAGCCATAATGTATCTACTCACAGTCATAATGTATCTACTCACAGCCATAATGTATCTACTCACATCTACAGCCATAATGTATCTACTCACAGCCATAATGTATCTACTCACATGAGCATTTGTGATGAGCAGATCTATTGCACGAGTCTGATGTGGCGTATCCACTAAAGAGGCTAATGATGCTGATCCTTCCCTGAAAAGTTATTACGAAAGCATATGAAAATTGTTCAAAAATGATTAATACCAACCATTAACAAAATGATAATCAGTGCATAAAAATGTTATTTCCTCCGTAACAATACTTAAGTATAACATATTCAAGCAAAGTGAAAAAACCTCACTGAAGTTCCGAATAAGTAAAAAGTAGAAGAATATTTAACTTTTTACCAAATGATACTATAACTTGAAACTCACCACAGTGACCTCAAAGCAACAAAACACCGTAGCACAACTCAGCAGAAACTATTTCATCTAAATATGATATGCATTCAAAACAAATATAAAGAAAAATGGGCGAAACACAAAAGACAAACTCACAAAGGTCGAAGTAATGTGGGTCCAAACACAATTCCCAGATTGCTAGCACTCATGTGGTTGAGGTCTGCATGGGCTGCCACTCTGCGAATACATCACAACATCACCATGAAACTATGTCAGCGTGACACAGATACTAATTAGTACTTGGACAAGGCCACATTCTCAGCTTGGTCACAAACATACTCTATAAGAAGCTAGGGAAAATAATCATTCGTAGGTCAATCAGCGAAGAAAATTAGAAAAAGTTGTTCAAAACCACCACAAAATGAATGTCTGAAAATATCAAAGGACTTCAATTCCACTCCCTATTGAAAAATACATCACAAGAGTAAATGAGGGACCTGTATATCCACAAATAGACAAAGCACTCACAAACAAGAGATTTATTGATCCTTGAATGAGAATCACCCCCCCCCCCTCCTCCCTTTCTCGAAAAGACACACTCCTATCTATTTTTCTGAAGAGTTAATAAAAACATAAAATTAGATACCACATTTTCTAGCAATGCCAATCGGGCTTTCCCGCGCTGCGAAAATTTGGTCCCCGTTTACGGGCAATTTTGCGGACCCGGCTGAAGCGTAGGTGACTAACTTTGTCAACCTCGGTCTGCTCTATTTCCGAACCAATCCAAATGAAACTCGGCAACCAATCAGAAAATAGGACAAACTAATGATATGTGGACGTTGAAGTTCGTACACATAAATTAACCTATACTTTTGGTGTCGGGAACACTTTCGTATCGTGTACACTGAAAACTATAAGGAGTTTGAATTTCAACGCCGAGATGGTAATAGATCTATCTATCCTCTATAGTGTGCTCAAATTTGAACGTTCTGTGTCAAGTAGTTGTTTAGACCCGATCATAGATACATGACTACCCCCCTATCCAAAGCGGCTTCGCACGGAGACCGGCCATTTTCCCCTCACTCTCGTGGCAAATGTATGTGACCAACAAATCCCCGCATGACTATTTCGGGCCCGTTCATTGGTCACTTGAAATAGGGCAATGGCGGGCGCGCGCACCCGGTTGTTTTTCTCTCTATTCCCCTGTAACATCGCAATGGGGGTATTCCGAGGCGAGGTTATCTCGTCTCGGGGTGTTCGCGTCTCAGCGGGGAAAAAGAATTTTTAATTGTACAGCATGCTAGATTGAATTAACTTATCTTTTACGGTTGGCATGGTCTGAAGTCATCATAAAAAGCTTTGCAATTATTTAGTCACGCTGCTGACATATATTCTTAAAGATCCCATGTTGTGATACGATGCTATAAATAAAATGGACTCATCCCGACACCCCTTTTTCGCAAAATCGTAATATGTACACCAAAATTTTAATTATAACAAAATAACTACGAAATTGGTAGTAAATCTGACTGCAGAAATGATTTCTACACTCAAAAACACATCGGGTGGCCAAGTTTCTCTCGAACACTCCGATTAGTTACCGAGATATCGTCGATTTTCTTACAGAATCTGCTACTGCGTGGTCCACTTTTTAGGAGTATTTTCCTATATGTGGGTCATCCATATTTTGCCGACCTTTACAACCCCATAACTTTTGTATTTATGAACCGATTCTCAAAATTCAAGAAGGTTAATTCTTAGGATTGAAAATTCTTTCTTAGGTACCAAAAAAAGGGGGCTAAAGTGAAAATTTTAATTTTCATTGGCATTGCTACATTTTCAGAGATATCCACCGGACTAGCTTTTTAAATCCCCTCATGACAGTATAGAGTACTTATTCTTTATTGATAATACATACAAAAAGTCACCTAATTGTTTGCATAGACCCACCTCTGCAAATGATGCATGAGAACAGCACAAGTGCGTAAGTTTGACGATGGCAATTTCGCCACAAGTGTCTTCAGATGTGCGACCAAGTTGTCTCCAAGCAGTTGGCCAGACATGTTCTCCTGGAAACAGCACGACAACATAGATTGAACTACACGGGACAGGACATCATTCACATACTTTGTAAGAGAACCTGCAAACATCAGTCCCTCAGCTCTTGTAGGGAAACCAGCGAGCATATACTACGATACTTCTTTCGGCCACTCTCATTACTGCATTTTCCCCCTGAAACTCAGGACTCAGAGAATAAATGTTTAGAGAAATCAAAATAAAGTGATTATGTTGAGCTTTGAAAAGCATGATTGGATATAAAAATTGTTTCTGCACACTAAGGTATCTGTGGATCACAAGGAGCATTAGCATTGCAGAAATTCAATCTATCGTTCTTATCTCTCCTCCTTTTTTGTGTTTGTTACTCTCTTGTAACGCCTCTAATCTTCGGCACTTATATGACCTTATTGTGTTGCAAGTGCCGTAAAACTCTTACTAAAACTAAAGAAATTCAAGTTCTCTGTCAAACATTTCTTTTTAATCTCCTACGAGCAGGGGTGGATACCCTTTTTCTTTTAGCTGAGAGTAAGAGAAAATGTGATCTCTCGACAAACTTTATTCCATTTATCCCTAATACAATACAGAGTGAACGTTCCCAAATAAGTCTTATGACACTCACCTTGGCAGTGTGAATAAAGTCAGAGTAAAGTCTGAAGGTGAGAAGAGGCTCCGGCAACTGTGAAGAGTAAATGTACGAGTGTTACTATAAAAGGACAAATGAATGGATGAAGAATGGGCTGTCTTGCAGCTTAAGAAATATGAGACACACATAGTCCAAACAAATACCTCTTTCAACTGAAGAAAAATTGTGACTTCCTCTGCCGTGCCGTGCCAGTGAGTGAGTGAGTGAGTGAGTGAGTGAGTGAGTGAGTGAGTGAGTAGCTCAGTGCTGAGAATGACATACCACAAAAAAGGCTAAAACTAGAGGGGTCTGGGGGCATGCCCGCCCCGAACATTTGGAAACAAAAACGAGACATAAAATAGCTAAATCTAGTTATTTTGGAAGGGTTTGAGGTCTTATTTGTTACCCTAATTTTAGAGAATAATAATAACTACCCAAATACTGTCAAAAAGGAAATATTACTATACATTGTACATACATCATCCTTGAGGTGAAAAATAAAATTATTCGCAGGGTTTACAAATCTTTGAAAAGCTTTTTTCAGTGTTTTAATGATTTTGTGGAGCAAAATGTTACTGTCAATGATTTAGTTTTCCAGGTGTAGCTTCAGTTTTTCCTTGTGGATTCCCCTGTCTACATGTGCAGACAGCACGGCATATCCTCGGCCAGCGTATCTCACTTCCCACTTCCCTCTCACATAGAGCACACCACGCCTACTCCTTCTGGTTCAGTTTTCTAATAAACTCACAAATGCGCCGGCCGTTAACACTTTTATCACACATTCCCAAAGCCACGGGTTACTGGCATCACCATCATCAAACTTATCTCCTCTCGAAAGAATATCAACAGTGCACTTCGCCATGATGAAGAACAAGCAGACAAGACCCCCCAAAAAAAGGCTACAGGGTTGTGATATGCGTGGGACAAAGTCACCACAGTTCTCCACGTAACTACCGGTACTCAATTGTCACAACTGAATGCGATTCTACCAGTAATGACGAAGTACAAAAAGTACTTGATTGAATGGTATCGGCCGACACACAGATGCGCAGGCACCTCGGTTTCGTCCAACCAGCAGTTAAAAAACTTCTAAAATTATTATCGTCTTTTATTCAATTCATTTTTTAATTCTTACTACAATATTATTATAATACGAAACTCGGAAAAAAGGCGGAAGAGGCTTTGGATGAGCGGACGGCGCTGTTGCAATGAGCAGAATTCCGCCTTTAAGCAGACAATTCTCAGCCCTGGTAGCTTTTAGTAAAGAAAACGAACTTCAGACAAATAATTGCAACCACTTCTTAATATTCAGGTTATATTTATATAGTTAAAAAATAATACAAACATTAAAAGCCAATTGCTATTCAAACATTTTCTGCCAGTGGCAAAATCAAAAACACAAAAGTACGTGTCAGCTCAAAACGATAACAAAACAGCTAAAGAGACTCACTCACTGACACATAACCCTGACAGTTGAAGCAAACTAGCGAAGAAGAAGACCTTGTCAGGAAATGCCACAAAAAAACAACTTGAGTAAGAAAGAAAGGGAAAGGCGCATGGCAAAACCATAAGCCGCAACACAAGGTAAATGTTTCCATATTCAAACAAAATAACTTGTCTTGAGAAATCAGCAGAACTGACCTGTCTGAGATAAAGTTTGAGCACGTTGGAGATGATATTTGGTGGAATGTCCGTCAAGTCCACAGCCTCTGGGTCAATGTCAAACTTCTGGCACAGCTGCTCCACCCTGCTTTTCACACCAGACACGCGGTAGATGCCCTATGACATGAGTGACAGAATGGAAGAAACTGTAATGAGGGGGAACAAAAAAAGTATTGAGGTGTACATGACTATCAGTTTCTACAACAATCACTAAACAGGTTTGGCACAATTCATGAACAAAATACTGAGCTTTCAAGCAAATCTCTCATAAAATGTAAAAACAGGAAAAAGAAATAAGGAAAGGGAGAGGAAGGCACGGATGAGGAACGGGAGATATGAGGAGAAGAAAATACTCATTTAAAAGATTAACAATTTCTATTTCCCGACAAAAAATTTGAACTAAGATTTCATCCCAACATTTCTCATCCCCAGAATATTCTTCCCATTCTCGGTTCACTAAAATCTCTGCTATCTCTAAATAATTTCAATCCACGCATACACAAAAAAAGACCACAGAAACAAAATGAATAACATTTTGTTAATTATGAGAAGACAAGCAAAGGACAATCAGAAGCACACCAGTTAAGAAGCCATGGTTCAATGCTCAAATAAAAGTTCATCACAAAAATACTTCTTTGTTGTGTAATTTTTTAAATAGAGATCAATTCATGATTTTGATGATCCACGGGTGCAAACTGTGGAAAAGTGTATTCTAAGACTTAAAACTTAAAATTTACTAATATTTTTGTCTAATACATCTTATATCAAGACTATTTTGATAGAAAGTTCAACAATTTCTAATCAATCAGCTTGAAGTCTGGTAAAATGTGGACAATTTCAGGAATCCGGAATTTTTAAATTTATCTGGAAATTCAGCACCTCTGACAATCTTAAATGTAATGGAAGAAACCAGAAGAATAAAGGGGAACGCAAACATTGCCAAAGTGACAAGAGTATTGACAGAAGAATCCATGGATCTGTTAGAACTGAAATTCACACATTAAACTTTTGAGTAAGACGACATAAAACAAGAAGATCCGTTGTGTGTGGTGCACGTTTATGATGATCATGATTGTATAGTTGTGTAAAAGCTGTCGGAAAAACATACATCAGTGATCTATTACTAAAAATGCAGATGAGCTCACAACAAATCAAGAAACTATCAATGTCACTATAATGAATACACATTCATAACGCTCATATTGGGTTAAATAAAGTCCATTCTTCACTTGCTCCTTTAACTTCACTTCTAAATGCAATTACACGAATTCACAGAACAAAATTTCAAGTTTTGAAATGGAACCACGTGAACAACCCTGCACTAGCCAGCAAGCATGCACAGGCACACTCATTCACTCAAACACAAGGAACATAATAGGCTCATAAAAAATGCAAAAATAAAACTTTCGTGTTCCCAAGAAAGTTTGTTTACCACCTCATGAATAGGAAACATTTTGATTTCTTTTGCTACTTTAAAACAATATAAATACCGATTTCTCTTTCATTTTTCCATTTCATGGCTAACTTTCTCTTCAGGTCTCCTATCCAAACATACCTTACAGGTGGATCTACATAGTCACAACAGCATATGTCAGTGAAATGTTAGGAAAAAAAACCGACAAGGCTCCAAAAGGGGCCAGCACACCACTCACCCTAGTCCCATACGGGGCATGCTAGAAAAGCACATAAAGAAAAAAAAAACTACTGGATTACATGACCAACACCATAGTATATAAAGAGATTTTAAAAACTGACCATGACAGAAACAATTTAGAAAAGCAAAAATGTGAAGCCTACCAAGAAGTAAAATGTTGATTGCACTATAAAAGGTCACCAAAAACAATACAGATGTTACTTATATAAATATTATTTGCTAAGAAGACAAGATTAAGTAAAACCAATATAACTGTAGTCTCCCTACAAAACAAAAATGAAACATTACGAAAAATAAAGAAGCAGGTTAAAAGATTTAACTAAACAAGAAAGGCAAGAGATACAACTTGACCTTCCATAGAACCAAAGGAGGAAATCAATCATATTTATTGAGAATCAAAGAACGCAGTTAATTAAATGAAGACAGCAAAAAGGCTACTAGTTTAAGTAGATTAGCAGTAACATGCTGTAGTACATGCAATTTGAACATCACAAGACCATTATAAACTATGACCAAGACAGGACACATTACTTCCATCACAAGACCATGATAACATATGACCAAGACAGGACACATTACTTTCGTCACAAGACCATTATAAAAATAAAATATGACCAAGACAGGACACATTACTTCCAAAGACTCAGCCCACTGAGTGTGAACAGAGTTGAAACTAACACAAAAAAAACTAAAAACTTGCACCTCTTCTGCTTCACAATCAACCCCCGTTCCCCCCCCCCGGGAAAAAAACAACAACAACCCAGCAACAACAAAACAAAACCCTGCATAATACAACAACCCCCCCCTCCCCCCCCCCCCCCATAAAACAAACATGAAAATGCTCCGAAAATCATGCAAAAGACATAATACGTTTACACGACTGTGTGTGTATAAAAATATCTATCTACATATATACATACATTTCAGACCATGCTTGGACTCAATCCTTGAGTGAGCAGTCGGTCTACCTCAGAGATTTAAGCTCATGCAAGAAGCAGAAGGTATGTAAACACACTAAATTTCCAGTGTTTTTTTTAATTTCAGGAAAAGAGACAAACCTAACCAGGACACCAACACTACTCAACAACACCTGAATACTCTGCCGTCACAAAAAAAACCAAAAAAATATTTAAAAAATACACCCAGACTAGAAAAAGCCCCAAAATACCTTGATCATAACTCCTCTCCTCTCAATCTCCATGAGGCACTTGGACACGATGGGCGGTACTGTGGTCTGGAAGGTGTCCACCTGCTCCTGGAAATCCACACCAAAGGTTGTGTTGCGTCGCCCTCTGTGGTGCTGAAGGGTAAGAACAACACATAAAGTGTATGAGTTATTATTTTAGCCAGTCTTCTTTTCTTCTTCTCGATCGCATCACACTTGAAGTCTGGTATCTGTCATAAATTGGGTCGTCCTGCTCAGTTCATCTGTGGGCCCGTATAGCTTCTCTTGCAGCGTCAGTGGGGTAGGCCACGTTTCCTGTCTCAGGGCCCTGCGTGTCTTGCAGTGCTGAAGGATGTATTTTAGCCAGTGTTTTACGGCACTTGCAGAACAGTATGGTCATGAAGGGTCGAAGATTAGTGGTGTTGCGAGAGAGTAACAAACACAAAAAAAGGGGGGAGATGAGGACAACAGATGTTTCATAAGAAAGAAGGAGCAGACCACACTAGAGCAACCGCGAACCACCCACAGAGTACGAGTTAAGAGAAAAATTTACACGAAAGTAGTCGTTCTGTGCAAGGAAAAAAACAAGGCAGACAGAAAGACAGACAGACAGACAGAAAGAAACAACACTTGACAATTTACAAGAAAAGCTACCGATAAAAGATGCAGCAACAAGAGAAAAGTACGTTTATCCACAAAGAGGTCAACCATAAGACGAACTGTGGGTGGTTGGCGGGTGCTCTGGTGTGGTTTGCTCCTTCTTTCCTGTTGAACATCTATCGTCCTTATCTCCCCTTCTTCTTTTCTATGTTTGTTACTCTCTTGTAACACCTCTAATCTTCTGGCGCTGATATGACCTTATGCAGTTGCGAGCACCGTAAAACCTCTACTAAAACTAAACTAAGACGAACTTCTCGCTTACTATTGACAGTACACCTATGAAACCTTGCAGGGTGATAAGAAAATCATTTTGCTGACATACTAAGTTTAAACAGAAAATCTCATTTATATGCAAGTCTTGGGATAAAAACCAGGCCTAAGAGATTCTCAAACTAACGACAGTAGAGGGGTTTAACTTTTAAAATAAGGAATAAAAATGAATTACCATTAGCAATCCAGGTATGTCTAGGTTCTCCTCCCCGCCGAGAGTCATGGTCCGCTTCATCTGACTTCGTTTCTCCTGGCCTGTCAACAAAACAAGGAATAATATATCATAGAAACAGAATGTACTTGTGTTCAGATCAAATTTTAGTAAGAGTTTTATGGCACTTGCAAAACAAAACAGTCATACAACTGCCGAAGAGAAGGAAGAGAGATAAAGATGATCAATCTTTGATAGGAAAAGAGCAAGCCATACCAGTGCACTTATCAACAACCACCCACCGTGTACATGTAAAACGAAATCATTTTATTGCAAATGAATAATAAAAGAATGTTTTACGGATATCAGAAAAACATAGCAAACAACCTTGTACTACACACAGATATACTCTTATACTTACACCATATATACTTCAATAACTTTCTCTTTGGAAATTAGTCCAGGTCTATAAGTGATAAGGATAAAAATATGATGTAAAAACAATTTTCATTTAAAAAGAAAAAGAAAACATAGTGTCCCCACGCGGTAGAATCAGGCGCTTGTCAATTTTTGGGCATGTCAAGTCATTTATACTGTCTTAAAGTTTGTTCATTTTTCTTGTTTTCTGCTAAATCAATGATGCCCTTCTATCTTTAATAAAAGTCCAGATATTTGCGTTTGGAAAAGATGGGAGTCGCCTTGTTTCAGGGGTAAAATTGGCGGGAAAATGGTCGCCAAAGTTTGGTGACTTACAAAGTTTGAGAGTCCGTGGAAAATGAACATTTATTAGCAATGACAATGAAAAATTAAATTTTCATCCAAATTGCTTAAAAATGGACTTAAATGAAAATAGAGTAAATTCTAAGAACTATGGTTTTTAAAAATTAAAAATCCATTGATAAATAAAAAAGTTATTGGGATTTTTGTTGGCAAAATGTTGGAGGACCTTCATATAGGAAAAAATCGCCAAAATGTGGGACATGTTTTGATGTATTTTGAGGAAAAACTGTTCATAAGTCAGTAATGAATTGGTGCATATGAATGAAACTTGGCATCTCCATGTGATTTTTAGTGCCGAATCTAGTTCTGCTATCACTTTTTCGATGTCTTCATTACTTTGGATCTTAAAGACTGATATTTGCGTGAAATTTGTTGAATTGCGTGACATCGTTTTTACCGCGACGCGATCACCCCTTCTAAAACTCAGTAAAGCGCTATCGGGAAAACCCGCGATGTAGTCATCGGTGACCCATTTGGTTATAGGCAGCCAATCACATGCCGCCTAGCGATCACGCACCTCTTGCGTGCCGGCACCTCGCGTTTGGAATGCGCTATCATGTTTCTAGATCTAGGGTTTTATCAATGGATGGGTGGTAATTTTAAGTTGGTACGTAAAATCTACTAAACGCAGAGATCTGAAATTTTACAGCAATAAAGAAGACATGTGGGGCGCTTGTGTGGTCGGCGATCAACCCGCAGCTCCGCTTAGTTTTCGAACCGCAGAGGAAATTCGCACAAACACGGCAATATCTCCGGTTCTAGTAATCGTTCGGGATTGTACGCTGGCATGTCGTTAGTTTAACCTTTCCTCTGGTTGGTTGCTGAGTTTCATTTATTTTCGTCCAGGAGTATTCACGTAACTAAACTTAGAAGAGAGTCACTTCTGATTCCGAGCGGCCCAAAAAATACCCCTCGCGCGGAGGCCAATTTCCGGCACAAGGCGCAGCCGGCGATTGGCATTGCTACATTTATGTTTTCTTGTGACTTAAATTAACGTTTTGCAGTAAAACACAATGAAATGTGTTTTGATATGGACATAAAAGAGGTTGAAGAAAAAAAAAAAAAAAGAACAAAAATCAATCAAGATTGCCAAATCGTCGGAAAAATGTTTACTTCTTCGACTTCATTATTTTGACGAGCGCCTGATTTCACCAAGATGCCTCACAATTTCTTCCTGCATCGTACCATTCTGGGCAGAAGCAGCAAGGATTTCCTCCTCCGTGAGCTCATCCAAGGACTGGCTGGAGATGAGATGCCTCCGCGAGGCTCTGTGAGGACTTCCACTCGGCGAGGACTCGTGGGACTTGGAGCTGCACGAGTTGCTGTCCGTGTCGGACGTCCCAGTACCGTGCGGCTGCTGGCCCCAGGCTTTCACAGGGATGCGATACTTGTCTGAAAGACATATAGGTGCCAAGATGTGTACTTCAACACATGAATACCTAAAAATACTTTGACACTTCAAACTACAACAAAATGTAAGAAATGCTGACTACAAGAAATTTCGTATTTTCAAAAATACCTGTCCATCCCTGAAATACTGAAAGCAACATGAGATATCAGTATGAGATATGTATGGCTCTTTCTTAAAATTAAAAAGAATAATTTGACTCTTTTGAAAAAAAAACTTGACACAAAAAACAGAAAAAGAGTAACACTGAGATTTAGAAAAGTAAAGAAAATAATGTACTTAATTCACAACAGTGCCTTTTGCACTGAATCTATTCCTACTGAAATTTAAGATTTCTTACTCATACAGAAAGGGTCAAGTATGCTATTTAACATTCACTCAAATGCCAGCTGAGCAAAACGATAAAACTTACCTTAAAAAATCTGTAATAAAAGGCTTAAAGGTGGAAATATGAAATGACACATCTTTGGACGAAGACGTTCGGAATTACCATTATGTTAAAAGAAAAAAGAAAAAACATTAATTAAATTTTAAAAAACAAGATAAATTTTAATGAACAACAAAATCCTAGGATTCCTTGAGACGCTGAAAATCTGAAACTTCCCCAAAGAAGAACGAGAACCAACCTCTGCGGGGTGAAGTGGTGGGGGAGCCCTCTGGAGAGTGCAAAGGATCTGCCATAGAGCCATTGGAGTGGAAGCTTTCTTTCCGAATGCCCTCAGGGGAAGCTCTGAACAGACAACACAACATCCCATTTATATGAATAGATAAAGTTCTTCTTGTATCTGGTGTTTATAGATAAAGTTCTTCTTGTATCTCGTGTTTATGAGATTACTTTACTTTACTTTTCCGATCCAGCGGCCATTTGGGTTCTAGCCCTTCGGTCTGATTTATGAGATTATTCTTCAAGTCTCACTAAAACACTTGCTCGAGAAGGTCAGCATAATAATTTAATTCTCACCCCATGATATCCTCTACATTTCACAATGGTCTTTTTCGATAGACATTTAGAAACATGTTTTAGATGGCAGATTTCAAGTCAGAAAGCGAAAACCTGCTGCCTTTCCTTAGACAATCCAAGATCAAAAGTTGGATTAGTGGCAGTTCCTATCTGGACAAAGCAAAGCTGTCGTTCTGCTGTTTTGGCTGACCTTTCTGAACTGAGACATGCTTTGTGGAAAAAAAACTGATTTACGGAAACCAAACAAGCTTACTCTATGAAATCACAACCACAACAAATAGATCCCCAAACAACTAGTAGATTAATTAGGTTCACTTTCAACAGATCAGCAAAAAAAAAAAAAATGCACTGAAACATACGAGAACGATGAGACCCATTTTTTATCTGCCACACCTTTCTGTGGTGTCAAACTGAAATGTCTGTTTCACAGCACCAGAAGTTATAATTCTTCTTACAAAATTACAACTTACACCATTTCATAAGCTTGCAGTAGCCAGTCTTATTTCCTTCCTGATCTGATCATACACAACCAGTCTGGCACAACATCATTTATAAGTTAAGTTCCAGTATAAATAAATCAGGCCACAAACAAATGTTTCTTTATTCCACAGAGAGATAAAGATAGGCACCAAATGCTGGGGACCCTTTTCTTCTACCTTTCTCTCTTAATAGAATACTTTGTTCTTTTTGTTTTAAAAGTAGATTGAAAAAAACGTGAACATGTCATTTATTATTATTATTATGAACAAAAACAAAAAGAATTACAATTCTACAAGACACATCAACACACTCTATGGAACATTACAGCAACTGCAGCAAACCTGCACTTATCACTACATGGCCTTGGACAGAAGGGCGAGAGCCCAGCTGTTGCTGGATCGATAACATCAACAATAACAACAAGACACATTGAGAGAAGGGCAAAACAAATTTGGTATTGTAAAATGACATGGCAATACACTGATAGATAACAACAATTTCACACTCGTCGCAAAACAAATTATTTGATTAAGTTTGCAAACACGCTCACTTACTTCTGTCCATGTACGTAAGGCTCAAAGACAAAGACTTCTGGCTGCACATGCCGACTGCCTAGAGGCAGCCTCCGGATGTACTCTGCATACTGACTGCCCGGCTCATAGCTCTTGCTGCTGTCACTCAGAGTCTGGTACTGCACAGGTATGGGTGAGATCACGGTGTGATACAGCTGGAAGTATTCCACCGTTGCCTGGTGATCCATCGAAAATGATTTGTAATGTTTTACACCCCCCTCAACACAAGTTAAATCATTTACAAGGCATGCTGCTTCCACCCAACCTCTCACGGCCAAACTGGGCTGAATTGGATACAACATCCCATCAGAAAGACAAAATAAAATAACTTGTCCATATGGGGCTCAAACCCACATCATCAGTAAGCAACGACAAAGAGCCTATTCATTACACAACAGACACAAGTACAGTCCCCTGACAATAACAAAACAGAAGCTTAATCGTTCAGAAAAATATGACTTTCTTATGGAGCATTTATGCAGGTTTTTCGGTGCTTTGATTTCTCACACACTAATACAGAACAACCCTGGACAGATTTCACTAAAGTCTTCTGTAATCCTCTTCAGTGTCCACCACATAATTCATCAGTAAAACCACATCCTTTAGAGCAGAAACAGAGCCTGCAATGAATACAAACTTTATTAATAAATAAACTTTTCCCTTAAACTATTTCAGTGACTGGCCTATTTTATGTTGCTGTATTGCCCAAGCAGAAATCAAAAATCCCTCCCCCCACCCCTACACAATTCATGGGTACCCCATTCCCCACCAAGACATAAACAGGACATAAGGAATGGACTGAAACTCACAGACTGAATAACTTGATCACAAAGCTGAATCTGTTCCCTGATTCTGGCCAGTTGTTCTTTCTGAAGAGTAAAAATAACATTGCAATGTAATTACTTCAAGCCTTTACAAATTCACATCATTTTTACTTATTATCAGCTACTCCTCTGGTAAAAATCCATTGCAATACATCATTTGTCCTATTTGAATTGGTCACAATTCACACAACTCCCACTGACATTTCAAAACAAAAGATGGGAACAAAACATAAAATAGATCAAGATAACAGAGTCACAAACATTTGAAAAAGTAGATCACATTTATAAACCTGCTCAACAGCAAATACCAATTTCCTAGGGAAGGTTAAAGACAAAATTTTCACTCACAAACTTTCAAAAACACCAACAGCAGAATTTCTAAAAATCTTTATATTTGAATAAAACACACAATAAAATACAAATATCAGACGCGGAAGCGGCTCTCAAAATAATTGCCTGAAAATCTGAAGGGGCTTGAAGCCTAAGGGGGTCTGGGGGCATGCCCCCCTTGGAAAATTTGGAAAACTTAAGGCTTCTTAACAGCCATCTGGAGGCATTTTCAGCTTTTTGAAAAGTAAACTATCAGACCAAAAAGAATATCTATATTGTCTACTGAAAACATACAGTAAATCAACTGGGTATCGCTTAGGCCTACTCAGATACTGAGCTCCACGAGCATCAGGATTGTGAGGCATCTTTTTGGGACAAAGAACCTAGATCTGGCTCCAATTCCACGCTTGTAAAGTCACGGCATCAATCACTGACTCAGTCACAATGAAACACACAAATAGATCTGGATCTAGTCGGAGTCAAAATTGAACACTTAAACACAAGAAATAGTCATTACCTTCACTTTAAAAAGTTCTTGCTGTCGATAATTAGCCTCAGCAACGCAAGCTTTGTAAGTTGTTTCTGCTTCAGCCGCCTATTTCAACAAACATATGAAAAAAAAATTATAAACATAAAACAGGTAAATTCACATTGAAAACTGAAACTTTCAATACACCAACTTTCAAACATCAATTTCTGAAAAGTAGTTAAAAGTATAACAACAACTTGTGCGATGTGACAGAAACCTAAAAATAACTATAGGAAACGGAGAAAAATAAGATAAGCAAAGGTCAAGGCATCTGATAACTTCCTCATACATTATTTTCGGCACAAAAATTTGATCCACACAAGGCATAAAGACAAACAGCAGCACCAGCTCCAGAAATGAATACCTACAAAATATCTGTTTAGTGCAAGGTAGTAAAATATTTTTTTTAAAATAAGACACATTTTCACTCTATTTCAAAAGGAAGTCAGGAACTAGCAAGATAAAGAAAAATTAAAGTCCCCAACTTTTTTCACTCCTACCTTGTGCAAGGTTTCCTCCTCGGCCTTTCTCCTCTTTTCTACCTTCTCTCCATCTGCTTTTAGAGCCAGATCTCTTGCTCTCTCATGATCTTGCTGTCGGCTGTGGTACAGTGCTTGTGCTTTGCGTAGATTTGTAACCGAGTCAGACTGTTCAGGGCAACAACAAAAATGACTGAGGTACTTTCTCTCGATGATCTCGTGTGACTGACAGAGTATCTTGGCAATAAATGACATGAATGCATGCTAATTTGTTGTAATAATCATAAATAAGGCATGAGCAAATTTCAGTTATGACAATTGCTAAAAGTGTTCATATTACTTACCATTCTGCGGTATTCGCGGTGCCATACATCTTTGACAGACTTATACACTTTGTCATGTTCCATTCTACGAGACGACAAAGGCTGTTGAAAGTAAGAGCATGTCAGTAATTCTTTTAAAAATTAAATAAAGTAATAATGCATAAACTGCAACATAAATTCTTTCATATTTAGTCATCTACATTTCAAAACCAAAATGTTCACATTGCGTTAAGCAATACTAAAAAATCAGAAATAAATTGCATCCACTTGCTGAAATTTCATAGAGTCATTTATCATTTTTTTAAAAGAAGACATTTCCATACAAAATACAGCCAACATTTCAGAAGTCAATCTTTGACTTACAACCAATGCACAAAGAATTCATAGCTCTGTCGCTGCCCTACAAATCCTCTTGCATACCTACCTCAACAAACTTGTGAGAGTGGAGAACAGCTTGAGTAGCTTGCAAGTTGCTGGCAAACTCAACATCCTGCCGCGACACAAAAAAAGGTAGATGATAAATAACAATGATAATATCCAAGCCAACTGGAACTAGGATTCTTCCACACCAATAGCATTGCATTTTTCAGCAGATTAGAAACTTAACTGCTGAAGGCAAATCCTATTTAATCATTACTTATAGTAATCACTCATAGCTGACCAGTTTTGAAAATGTTGATGGAGGCAAAAAACAGTAACAATTACACTTTTTTTGTACCAATACCGAGGGAAAGAAAAAGCGTGTAAATAACTGTAATAAGGAATTGAGAAAATAAAATTTGTACCAAATAACATTTCTAAGTAAGACTCACCTGACTCAGAGCTGTGCAATACACTGACTGCAATGGTAGAAAACCCTGGAAGTAAAGAGGAAAAGAAGAAACTAAGAATCACATCCGGGCAACAATTTTTACTTCTGTTCACTCAAACAAAAATAGACAGATCAAGTAAGAATACTGGTACATTTACTTCTGTGAACTCAAACAAAAATGGACAGATCAAGTAAGAATACTGGTACATTTACTTCTGTGAACTCAAAAACAAAAATAGAGAGATCACGTAAGAATACTGATACAAAGAAAAGTACAAAGAATGCACCACACAGTATCACCAAGCAAATCCAAAATAAACAAACTATGGATATCTTAAAACAGAAAAGACGGTAAAGTATTGAGTTTCTTTCCCTTCTGCGACAATAATGGTTCATCTTTCCTTTAAAATTTAGCTAAGTACTTCCTGTTCAAGAAAAAAAACTCACACCAGTACATATGGGGGCCTAACAAGTCCTTTTGTCCAACAAAACCATGTTTTTGGGAAGTTTCTTTTTATCTGCAACATGTATAACTTAATAATTGTATTGAAATTATGATCATGGTGGTAAGTTCCCCCACAAGAGTAAACAAGTAGAAGTTGTCACCTACCTGCTACGGTCCATCTTCTGTCCAAGTTAAGAATGCAAAGCGAGAAAGACAATAAAAGACAAATGGTTTGATATGGACAGACTACCTGTACGCAGCATAATACTTGGAACATATGCACTCATTGTGGAAGATTAATGTTGTTGCTTTTTTAAATTTAAAGCATAAAGAATTCCAGGGTGAGAAAGACCATAAGGTTTAATCCCAATCCCATCCAAAAAGACTTCTCACCACATAAAAAAAAAACATCTAAAGTTTACAAAAAAACAGCATTATATTTCTCAATCACAATCCTCCTAACAGTGCCACTTCCAAAGAAAATACATAAATAGGGAACTTTCATTTTCCATTTATAAAAAAAAGAAATGACGTTTAAACATTTTTAACGATTTTTATCTGCAACCTCAGGCAAAATATTCTCCTCTACTCGATACGTACCTCCTTTTTCAGACTGTTCTGGACAGAATGGGCCACTCGAGACAAATTCTTAGCATAATCTATCTCTGTTAGAGAAAGAAAATAAATAAAACTACATTTATTACCAAGTAATGACAGGTACTTGTCATAAAACCACACCGTTTATTACGAATACATAAAGAATGTTAAGACGTTATAACATGCACCATGCTATAGACCAATACAATCAATCATCAAGACTAGCTTGATACAATATAAGTCATTTAAAGTCTTTTTGACGAAACAGCTTTTTATAGATCTCAACATGTGAGCTTAGTTTATTTTCCCCTGTGATAATATAATATTGATGTCACTCCAATCAACAACATGATGTCACTCCAATCAACAACATGATGTCACTCCAATCAACAACATGATGTCACTCCAATCAACAACATGATGTCACTCCAATCAACAACATGATGTCAAATCTTGTTTTTTCAGCAACCCTTGGGTTTATTCCTTTTCCCCAAATACTAGACAGTTGGAGGTATAATTATAATTCTTCAGGAGTTGTCAACAAAACTTCTGAAGACCATGAACCACAAGACTTTTTTTAAGGAAGCTAAAGTATTTTAAAGTTGATAAAACGCTGATGTCCATATTCTACCATTCAACCATAGAAAGTATGATCAATTTTTATATAACAGCATGAACCGGGAACACAAGACAACAGGATAAAGAAAAAATAAATCGATTAAAACGGAAAGCATGTAAAATTTCAATATCTACATTCCCCTACTTGGACGAATTGTACATAACAGCTTACACTAAAAAATTTAATTCCATCTTTTTAGACAACAAACACCCCTTGTTCCCTCAAATAAAAACATCAGTCCCCTTGTTCCCTCAAATAAAAACATCAGTCAGAAGTAAAAGACCTAGGCTTCTGATCTGTAACAAAGAAAGATATAGAAGGTCATTTTTACCATTATTTATCAAAATGCTTCCATCTTAACCATCTTGTATCAGTATACTTACGACTTTAGAGCATGCATCATTTAACTTTGAGTGTTTATATCTTAAGATTATTATTGTTCATATTGCTGCTCATTTATATTATGCATGTGACTGTAAGCTTACGAGTGTGTGTGTGTGTGTGTGTGTGTGTGTGTGTGTGTGTGTGTGTGTGTGTGTGTGTGTGTGTGTGTGTGTGTGTGTGTGTGTGTGTGTGTGTGTGTGTGTGTGTGTGTGTGTGTGTGTGTGTGTGTGTGTATGTGTGTGTGTATGTGCGCGCGCGCGTATGCGTGTCTGTACACGTGGTGGAACACCAAACCAATGAGCCAGAATCTGGACAATAAAGATCTATCTTATCTTACCTTATCTTAAGACTGATAACTTTTCAGGTTTTGTCCGACCCAACCTCACCAGTGGATTCAACAAGGGGAAAAACCTAAGCTGTGAAATTACAAAAAAGGCAGAAATCTTATCCAATTTTGGAGACATCGCTAGACACGGCCAAGCATAAAACCCGATCCTTACTTCAGTTAACATTCAAACAAAGCCATCATTCTTACCCAACTGGGCCTTTTTCTCTATGTAGGTGACAATGTCCAGCAAGTATTTGGACCACACTTTGGCTCTCTGCAGGGCAATGGTCAGGCCTGTGTCCAGACTCACAAGGATGGAATCAAGTTCTTCGCTACTGATCATGTCTGCAAGTAATAACACAGGAGAACAGATGTCATCACCCAGTCCTCCAATAATAAAGTACATTTACGCAACAATGAAACTTTATTACTTTTTATCAAGAAACACAAACCTTTAGAAAAATCTGGATTCAATACAATTATCAATTACACGCAAACCTTAAGTTTACATAAGTCCACTGTCTTCAACCTTTGGTCATGGAGCCAACCAGCACAACATAATATGACAAATAAAAACTTCAGATATTTTATTTGAACATTTGCTTTAATTGACAAGAAAAGAACCAATCTTTCATTTTTGTGCAAACCTTTAAATCTAAATGGCCCATGACGTTCATTAAAGAATCACCATGAGAGAGTGACAAACATACAAAACCATACCTGCATCATGATCATCCATATGTTCATCTCCTTCTGCAACAGCAATGTTGTTCATTGACTGAAAAATTGAAAAAGAATAGAAAAAAAAAATAAATCACAAAACGTTTGTTTAATATGTCCCAACATCTTTTCAAAGATAAAATGTAAACCGTTTGATATCAACTGACTACAAAATAAATTACATGGCAGTCAACTTCTGGAGATGCATAATGAAAAAAGCACATTAAAACATGCACATACCATTGACTGGCATATGCAGAAACACACAAAGTACCTTTGTTTTTAAGTCCATGACCATCTGTGGACCCATATCACCCATCAGGTATTCTGACACACTGAAAATAAAAAATACCACAAGAAACATATATTAGGTGACAGTGAGAATCATATATGCCATCCCCTATTTTCACTAAATGACGCTGTTCAAAGTAGTAAGCTCAGAAATTCATTCAAAGATGAAAAATAAAATCAATATAATGAAAAATGAAGAGCCACTAAACATTCTTTCCAACAAAATAGTACCCACTTCTCTTTTCATCTTCAGTCAAAGGCTTCGGAAAATGCTGTCTTGACAAACAATACAAATCACAATTCATTTATAAACTGTAGATAGTCTGACCTTCAATAAAAAGGAACTAAAAGAAAATCTGCTCTGAACCTTATTACACAACAAACTAAGGAAAAAATTAAACATAAACACAAAATTTACATGTGAATGGGTTGGATAATTTCAGCATATCCCATCTACATACATCCCAGTCTTCCAACTAAAAACTTCATCTATGATAAAAAGCAACTGACCTGCTACTAAAGGCAAGAGCAAGCTGGTCTATGGCCTCACAGAATCCTTGAACATCAACAGCTGACATTTCTCCCTCATAGTCATGATCTGAAAAAAACCCAACAACATTGTTGATGGTGTTATCCCAAAAACAGTTTGCTATAATGTCTACAATTCGATCTATTCCTTTTTAATTCTATGATAATTAATTATTTCGTTAATAAAACTTGTAACAACTGAATGAGTTTTAATCCCTATTTTTTTATAATTCTCTGCTTATTAATGACTTAATTCATAAAACTTAACAACAAAATGTGTTTTAGTTTTACTCCCTCATTATTTTTTATCAACCATTACAGTAGGACCACCAACATGATGTCTTGATTAATGTACAAGAGTTGGGGAAATGACCAGCAGGCTGAGTTAGCCCACTTGTACACAAAGCATATATACCTCTTCATCAGTGAGTTTGTAGTTCTCATACGTAATACAAATATCATATGTCTACAGCAGAACATAAAGTAGGCCTACATTAAACTTTCAAATTTGTTTTAGAACAGTTAGGCAAAGACAAGCAGCAGCAAGCCGTTCCTTACCCTTTATCATAGTGATAAGGTTGCGGGCTGCAGTGAATATGTCAGGGGACTGCAGGTCCTGGTAATGCTGCATGACTGGGTTCAACACAGACAGGACTTCACCCAGTCCCTCGTGAATGACCACCCGCACATCTTCCTCTGGATCTGCATTTTGTTCAAGAGATACACGAGACAAAAGTAAGTACATTAATTCTTATTCAAAGCGTATAGGCCTACATCTGAAAAAAATATAGGAAACCCTCACTCTTAACTCTTTAGACCCTGAGTTATATCCACTGAGTTTTTTTCTACAGTCCCCTAAACCTGGCGCACTATCTCTCACTATAATAACCCCGAAAACTTGCCTATAACTTCTAAATGGCAGAAACAAAGGCTTAGTCCTTATTAATGAACTCGGTTCGGGAATAGTTCAGACAAACAAACAAAAACTAGCACTATAAACAATTTTATTTTAATGAAACAGTTGTCACTGGTATCGGACGCTAGGGTTTAAAGAGTTAATCGTCAGAATCCAGAACTAACATTAAAAAGAACTTTAATGACTATACTCAAAGAGTATCTCAGTTTCATTTTCATTCGTCATGCTGTCATGGTCCAAGAAATAAGTCTAAAACAGAACACTAAAGCAGTTTATAAATCATGAGCATGAAAAGTTGCAACGTAAGTTAAAGACTAACAAACAGTTTTCAAACTATTATCTATAAACTATTTACCTATTCCTTCGGTGAAGAGAAGCTTCAATTTTGCCAAGGAATCTGAAAACTTCTTCACATCATGCGTCAAAGCTATGATTTCATCATGATCAATCATCCCTGGATTCTGCTGATCGCCTGTCGCGATTGTTCCCAGAGAACTGCTTTTCTTGGGTGAAGGCAACGACTGCATCTTTTGTTGCATAAGTTTGCGGACTGACAACGGAGGACTGCCGTGAGGTGAAGTATTAAAGGGAGGAGCAGGCAGGAAAATCAAATCTCGCTGAAATAGATTCAATGCAAACTTTATGTGTATAACCGTCAAACAACAAAAAAATTTGCAAAACCGGCAAATAAAAAATGAAGGGTCAGGTGGGAACAATGCAATTTTTTATCGACAAGAAGATTTTGAAATGAAACGCAAATAAACTCAAAATGACGCGCGAAAAATCCTTGTTACAAAAAATATAGTATCTGGCATAAATATCCCATACGAGCTGAGAGAGAAAACAGAGGAATGGCATTTCTTGGGGATGTGGAAAGGATGGTTGCACTGATCATCTTTCATGTCGTAAATTATGACTGTAATATTAAAAGGTAGCAATAAACTCTCGAAGTGCAGGAATTAACCAATTAACAATAATAATTTCGACAGAATCAACAACAATGGTAGTGTACACTTTCTCAAAAACTCATTAATGACTAAATTTGGAAGAAAACAAAAGACAGGGGGAGAGGGTGTGATAAATTTATAAATTCCTTGAACTTTAAACCATTTAATTTCATTTGTACACTTCAGTGGGTTTATTAGTACTAAATAGGGAAAGGAAACCGACATTTTATTTTTCATCACAATTTTCACTTTCATTGAAAAGACCCACCAGTATATTGCCCATGGCAACTATATCACTCTGTAAAGGTAAAACCTGAAAACTAGTCAAGCACTAGACATAGAGGTACATTTAATTTCACAAAAAACTCATACTAATAGTACACCAACTAAATATGTCATGCTTCGTACCACATTATCAGCATGCCAAGAGAGATCATGAATCTGGTTTACCTAATTTTACTAACGGGCCACTAGCATTTAATGGTACATTTATCAAGCAAGGTACACACAGGGCTGCTAAGCATTTATTCCACATGACAAATACATATTTGCATAATTTCCCTATTAGGGAAGGCGTAAATAACACCTCAGAAACCTGACTGAGTTCCCAAGCAATTTCAACTACTTGAAAAGTACACCCTGCTTTTCTTAATACAGTCGAACCTGCCTTAACGGAAACCTGTATAAAACAGAAACCTGTCTTAACGGAATCTCCTCGCTCCCCCCTTGATATATTCCTCTTTAATTACCTGTATACAACGGAAACCTGTCCAACGCGGAAACGGAAAGAAAAATCCGCTCCCTTCCGAGAGTTTCACCTGTCTAAGACGGAAAACGTTTTGCCCGCTCAGCCCTGACTTGAAACAAAACTCGCAAGTTTGGTTCCGCTGGCCATGCCTCTAGGCAAGGAAGAGGAGTAGGGGTGCAATTTGGGGGTAGATGTTACCCCATCATGTGAGCCCTGAACGATGCAGATGGTCAGAGTAGTGTGGGTGTGAAATCTCACGACTACCCGTGAGAGTGCTCGAGTAGCGAGCCACCATGGTAACTTTCTCTGGTAGCCAAAAGCCAGACGTGTGAAATTAGTTTGACCAATGCCTGCCGCCCTGATCGTACGCCAGCCGAGAAAAGAGTTCCTCGAATCGTTGTTACAAGATGACAGTGAGGGGTGGTATTGGTTGAATCATGAATGTGCTTGTTACACCGGTGGGTGGGTCAAAGGGTGGAAGCAAAGGAGATCATGTGCAAACGTTTCTGTTTTTAATAGGTCAAACAGTGGTCGTATGAAAGGCAAGTACTGGTGGTAATTGGATAAGTAAGAGTGACACATGTCATTATCAGACAGGATAGCAGTTGAGAGGTGTGAAGTTTTGACCACTGCTTGCCGATCGGACAAGCGATCTTTGATCCCACTGGCTGGATCTTTGAACTCCCCCCCCTAAATTTCCCTGTCTAAGACATAATTTTTTCTGGCTCCCTTGCGATTCCGTCTTACACAGGTTCGACTGCAGTAATAATAAACATGGAATATATTCAAAATACATCTTACAAAAGAAATATGATTTTACTATTTTATGGGATACCTACAGGATACAAAGGGAAATGGATCATAAACACAACCATCATGTGAAGGTTGAGGCACTTGGCAGCCCTGTTAACTATGGATCACTTCTGTGAGACGTACTGTTTAAGCTCGTGTTATTCCAAAGTTGTTATGCAGTCCAGAACTATATGTGAGGCATCGTGGTCAAATTAGGTGCTTGTCAAAATGATGAAATCAAAGAAAACGGCATTTTCCTTCCTGCATGGCAATTTTTATACTTTTCTTGTTTTTTGTCTCAAAATCTTTTATGCCCATTTAGATACAAATTCATGTGAAGATTTTACCGAAAAAAGTTGATAAAGTGCACATTAATATAAATTAAGGTTCCATGGACTCTCTAGCTTTGGAAGTTACCAGCTTTGGCAGCCATTTTCTTGCTAAATTTTCCTCTAAAACCAGGTCATCCCCACCTCCTTCAATCTAAAATGTCTCCACTTCTAATTCTATTGAGGACAGATGGCTATTTTTTCATTGAAAGCAAGACAAATGAACTAGCTTTAAGAAGATACCAATAACTCAATATGCCCCAAAAATTGAGGAGCGCCTGATTCCAGCATGTCGCGACACATATGATAAAATCAATTCTAGAGAAATCCCTAATGAAACATATTCAGAGGATGTCATTGCAACCATTTTTACATTATAATGACACTATAAGTTCTGCAAAAATAAAAACACAAGATGGAAATGGCTCTTTGCACAGGTGATCATCTTTATAGCTGGCCGTAAAAGCAGGTTTGACTTAAAATCTTGCAACTTCAGAATGTTTGAGAAAGAAGGGGGAGAGAGAATGAACAAAAAAATAGAACCAAGAGAGGGCAGTCAGGTAAGTATTTCGATTACACTCATCCCTGTCTACAAGTCCTGAGATTGTGCACTTTCGCTTTGGGCAATTTCCATCATATAAATAAACTTTCATACAATGGTAACCTTCGGAGAAAAATAAAATTGCTTTTCATTAGACGTGAGTAAATCTCAACAAATCCATTCCAGACTCAATACCACCTCTTAAATAAAAACAGAATCCAGTTTGGTTTAGCCATACACAATATAAATTGAGGTGACCCTAAATATCTCATTCTTTTTGTTGTAGTGTTATTGGTGTCTTACACTTCATTGACCCAATTTACATAATTTGGGAGGCCAACTGCTTCGATCCTGTCTGTCAGTGCAGACCCAAGTTGAGAGAGAAACTTGTAACATCTCAGTACTGGTAAACTGACAGAGATATATTGGATAACAAAAAGACTTTCCCACACAAGAAACAAACTCAACATCTTCTGTGCAAAAAGACTGAGCCCAACAGCTAACAATGACACAGATGCTGATAAACTCATTCTCATCTTTAAAGTAAGTCATAGCATTCTTGGACAGTGATGTAAATACACCCATTTTAATTAAACTTATCAGACCCAACTAACTGGAGAACAGTATTTAATTTGATATTTTTAGACAGAAGCCCTAACCCCTTTAAAAAAAAACTCTTATAATTTCTCAAATCATTGTGGGGGGGCTCTCATGGCCTCAAGGTTAAGGTGTTCGCCTCTCAATCAACAGGTCTTTGGTTGGAATCCGGTTTGCGAAAGAAAATTTTTTTTAATAAAATGTTCTCCTTTCACCTCCTTTCCTGCTCTCTAACAATGTTATGTCTTCAGCTTTTGTCTCCACTTTCTACCCCCACCCCCTTTAAGCCTCCTTTGCCCCCTCCTCTGGGCTCCTGACTCTTTCTGCAGCCTTTCTACTGCTACTCCTTGGCTCCTTCTGTTGTTTTTCAGTCACACCCCAGATCTTATGGTAAAAAGGATCTACACCTAGCCTTCTCAAACAAGGGTGAAAAATCTCAGGGGTTCCGTGTACAAGTTGTGGTGGTCCAAAATCGCTAAGAGTAGGCTTTTAATGCGGCACCCGGGCAAAATTCAAAATTTCCTACCAACTGAAAATGTTTAATCAAATGTGTCATGCGTGCTCATAAGACCGTAGGCAGTTGCGAGTGCTGTAAAACACTTACCAAAAAATATTTTAAAAATTTTTAATCACTGTCATTAGACAAAGCATCAGTTTAGCAAAAAATAGGTGTAATTTCATTGTTTATATAATCACTCGTCAATAAAGCACAGTTAATCTGACTAGCCTTGTTATTATTAATTAATTTAATTTAATTAAGAATGTGGCTCATACGGTCCTTCCGTACGCATAGTATAGCTGTCCTCAGAGAAATTCGCGCTCGGATTGCGCGTGCAACTTTTGCCGTCAGCGCAACTTTTACCATTTTCGTGAATTCACGAATTTTAGCCAATTTCCCGCCAAATTTGGGAAAATAATAATAAAATTTCATTAAAAACACCGAAATTTTCTTCCACGACTAAAAATAACGACACGTCACATGTACGGGGTGCACGCCGCGCCGCCGCCCAGTGACCCGTACCGGGTCAGGTCGGGTCGGGATGATCGCCCGACTCGTCACTCGTCGCCTGAAAACAACGTGTTTGTTTTGAAACAACGAGTCAGGCGCGATCGACTTGTGCCACGATAGCCACTTTGCACCATCAATCTGGCTGGCAAACCGACCCAATAGTCTTGTTTGAACTGAATCATCTTCTAGTCTAGCTGCTAGATCTAGATCTAGAGTCTCAGTAAATCAATCGTAAACAAGGTCGTTTGATTAATTAGCTTGCTTGGTTCCGTAGCACCAGGTAGATAGATCTAGTATAAAAATTTGTGAAAGACTTTAAATCTTAGGCTAGGAGGCTAGATCTAGACAAGGATCGATTCATCCAGAAAACCCGTTCAAAGATATCATCTTACGCCTGGAAAATGTGGGGGG